AAGCAGAGGAAGGGGAGGGCAAAAGCATCCATTTGCTGTATCCAGAACCCGGAGAGAGCGGCCGACGTCCTGCACGTGTGGAAATCACCCCAGCAAGGATGTGTCTGCTGGGCTGTCAGAGAGAGGTATTGGGAGGGATTGTTTTGTGCAGGCTAATAGAGACCTAGAGGGATAATTGGCATGAGTGCAGGCATGACACAGCCCTCTTCCGGAGAAAGGAGCCCTCCTAATGGGAGCCAGGTGGCAATGCCCCTCCAGCCCTGACCCTGGGTCTCTCTGGAGCAGAGCTGCGAGCACGACCCTGTCTGCGGGATGAAAGCAGCCGTCCCTCGCCCCCATGTCACCCATCGAGTGCAAACAGGTGTGGGGTACTGCATCCCACCCGAGCGCACACTCCGGCCAGGCCAGGCTCTGGCACGAGGAGCAGCTGTGTCCCCAGGCCATGGCACGTTTCCTAATGGACTGCAGGACAAGCAAAACTGCCAACGGGTCACAGCCAGAGAATGGCTGAACAGCTCTGCTGGAATGTCAAGGATGGAGGGGACAGATGGTCTGTGTCTGTCAGGGAATAGAGAAGTCCTTGGGCTTCTCCCCCTGTGCTGCCCATGGGGATTCTGCTTTCTTCTCAAGGGCAGCTGCCGGGAGCAGCAGGTGATGGGATCTGGGGATGAGCCACCCACTACGGCCACTGCCACCTCCTCCTTGGTGCCAGCTGCACCAGCCTTGCAGCATCCCAAACCACTGCAGCCAGAGGGGTCTTTTGTTTGGGAAGGGAGGATCTGGGGATTGGGCTCAATGTCTGGACAGCAGGGCCAACCCCACTGGTGAGGCTACTCGGGAGTTCCACCGTTCCACCCTGGCACCGAAGCCCATGAGATAGCACCAACCCAGACCCTGTTCTGCTCCCCAGCCCTGGGAGCAGAGGGTGACTAGAAAGCACATTTTTTTTTTTTAGCTGCTATTTCTGGAGACACAGTGATCCAAGAATAGAGTTTATGCATAAAATTGGACTCCTCAGTCAGGGTATATAACACCAGCACAGCAACCGGCCCCATAAATCATGCCTCATAAATCTCTGATAATGCATAACCTGCATGTTGGCTGCAGATCAGCTCCAGGTAACTCGGCTTGGAAAGGAATGAAACTTGGCAGCAACGTAGAAATCAGAGACAGGACAGACCTCTCCAGCCCAGCCTTCCAGCCCTCAGCATGCCCTGCGCAGCAGCATCCCAGCCTCAGTGCTGCTCTCCTCTGTGCTACCCCTGTGCAGCTTTCCAGGAGGGGGACAGCAGAAGGGGTGAACAACCACAGACCGCATGGGCTCAGGATGCAGAGGCCAGTGAGCACCCAAAAGCACCATCACTTGCCCTTTATGCCCATGAAGTAACTCTCAATTTCCAACTGCATGCCCCTCCTCTTCCTTTTGTCCCACAGATTTTAATCCCAACCTGGCTGCCTTGAGCAGACACCCACTTGCACCCCATCCTCCTCAAGTCCTCCAGCTCTCATCTGGAGGGAGACATCACCATCCCTCCTTGCTCCACACAAGACTTGGAACTTTTCCCACATCCATCAAAGCAGCCCTCACTGACCAATGAACCAGACAGTGGGTACATGAAGGCCAGGAGAAGGTTGATGAAGGGTCATGTTTTACTATGTCCAAGCACCGCCTGGAAAAGCCAGGTAGGGCAGGATGGTCTCACGCAGCAGGCTCATGTCTTTGTGAGGATGCCAGCAGCCAGCAACAGCAGGTCAGTGCCTGCAGATACAATGCCACAAGAAACAAGAAAGAGGTGTGTTTCTGGGCAGAAAAGGTACTTTTATAGTCCTCCACCCTGGACCACCATTGCTGGCTGGTGAGCAAGACAGCCCTGTGTCAAGTGAGTCTTTGGATGTTCAGTTAAAGCATCCAAATACAGCAGTTTTTATCCAAAGCTTCTCCTAAGCCCATTTAAGCTTCCCAGTTGAGCTAGAAATCTGTGAGATTCCCATTACACCAGATTCCCATGAGTGTACTCTCCCCCACAGGCATTTCCAGTTCTGCTCGTGCATCCACACTGCCTACTGTTCAGAAAATAAAGAAGCCAGTTTATCCCTCTATTTGGAAAAAAACAAGACTCCTCTCCTGTCTGCTTCTCTTAGGGGTATAAAAAGAGCATCTCTGCTTTGATGCACCCTCCCCTGTGGTCCAGTGCCACGTATGGGCAGGTTTCCTGCCAGGACCTGCCCAGAGCTGCTCCAACATAAGGGCGCAAGGCGTGCAGGATGGGGAGGATTTGCATAAGCACCAGTTGTTATTTAAGCTGTTTTCAGTAGCTCAGCAGAGCACTTGCACTTCCCAGTCCAAAGCACCCTCCTCACACAGCAGCACAAGGAAGGGCATCACCTTTCTCCAGCCCAGGCTGTTTAACAAATATCTCTGAAAAATGAATGCACCTCTCACCACCTGCGATATATGGGAGTTGGTTACCAGTTCCTCTTGGTGGATCTCATCCTGTCCAAATCAAGCCTAACATCCCACCAGCCGTAATGAGGAAGAGGATCCCAGAGGTACACAAGCAGGGCCTCACCTTCTTATCCATGAAGGGGCAGAAGCCAGCCCCAGATCCGTTGGATAGCAGGAATCATCCCTGAAGAGCGGTGTAACACAAAGCAAAGGTTATCAGCGGCCCATGAATCCCTGAAGTGCCGTGACGCTGGGGAGCAGAGCTCACAGCACAGAAAATCGAGACGAAATTTCCTTGCCCTGCTGCCTTGCACCTATTTGTTGTGTTTTATAATATGAGGTTAGACTGTTTCCACCCTGGTTTCCCAAAGATATCACATTAACATCAGTCACGTCGCAGCAGGGATAAGGGGAGAAGCGTGGACGGCAAGGGGCTCAACAGGAGCTTCCCGAAGCCAGAACGCCTGCATGCAGGCAGTGTGGTTGCACAGGCAGGGCTGCTGGCACCACCACCAGCACTGTTACTCGGGGCCCTGGAGCAGAAGGATTGTGCCAACCAGGCATCACTTTAGATACAACATGGTGCAGCCAGCATGGCAAGTGTCCTAGGACGGGAACCTGCCACCAGCAGCACTGGAGGAGGTGTTTTTTATTCTTCCATCAAGCAAATAAATGCACACTGGGAGTACAAAAACTGTAGCTCCGTTGCCAGATGTGCCCCATTGCTGTTATCATGGAATATTAATCAGAAAGGCCTGTGTGTAATTTTGGAGTTTTGATTAGAGAAATCTCCCTTACAATAATAATCACGCTGGGGCCTGTATAAATACCAACGGCTCCAGGTTTGTTGGCTGGATAAAGTGGCATGTTGATTGCTCGGCTCGCCTGTTCATCAATCATTCAGTGTTGCCCCCACGTTAGCCGTCCTCCTGGAAAGCCCCCTTCTTCCCGGCTCCCCCGATGCCTGTCCTTTCATTAATAGACTCTTTCCTCCTCCCCTTCCACCTTGTCCCCACTGCCGTCCCCTGCGCTCGCTCCCGGCCCCCTTCCTCCTCGCCTGCTCCCTGATCCCTGCATTCATCTCAGATTATATAAAGTTTGGCTGCCTTGAGTAAAATAAATTGCAGGCTTTTGAAGGGCTGGGGCTCTGTATATTTTTACGGTTAATGAATCTTCCTGTTTGAGTTTGGAAGATGGGAGCTTTGCTTTCCAGCTGCCATGTACAGCTCTGGCCGATTAAATTAATGGGGGCTGGAAACATCACCCCAGTGTGGGAGAGCATCGGGTGGGATAGAGTTGGGTGGGAGAGCATTGGGTGCATCCTCTGTCTTCCTCCCTGCCAACCCCTGGACAGGTATCCCCCCAGCAGTAGCCACAGCAAACTATCACCCCAACTTGCGTCAGGATAAAATGAGATCAGCCAAGAAAAGGGGTGGGGAAGTTGTGAGAGCAGCATCATTCACAGTAATGCTGCACAGGTGGGCAGCCCCCTGGGGTGCTCTGCATGGGGTGCAGTGGGTCCTACTGTGCAGCTGCTGACTCGACACCACTTGGGCACAAACTGCTCTTTTTCTCTCATCCAAAGCCCTGAAGAGGAAGCATACAGCCTGCCCCAGCCCTCAGGGCCACGAGGGAGAGGTTTTGCCAGGAGGAAAAGTGAGCTCTGGGCAAATAACTGGCAGCAAGTCTTGTGCGTGCTGGGTTTTTCCTCCTCGTCCTGAGCCGCCTATGGGCAAACTGTTACAGCCCCTAATTTATTCATCATTGCAACTGATTCATCATCTACTTTTTATGTCTGGTTTCTTGGCCTGTAGATTATCCGCCAGCAGTTTGTTGAGCATATTTGACATGTGAAACTCAAGCTGTGTTTACTTGTAGTTCATGTACCATGGCGTTTGGATTGGCCGCCTGCCATCAGCCACGTGGTGCCTGCGCTGTGCCCGGGTTGGCGGAGCGCAGCACGGCGTGGATGCTCACACGCACCAGCTCAGCCTTTCCCCAGCTCCAGACATTTCCCGCTGTTGGTACCATTCGCCTCGCTCCTCCCGGCTCTCCTCTGAGTCAGGCGCTCTGCACAGCAAGCAAGGAAACTGTATTTCTGTGAACATTCAAATACATGAAATCCCATAAAACCTGGGGGCAGAGCTGGAAGAGGAGCCGGGAAGGACTTGCCAACCCTGCACACTGGAATAGCTTTCTTCATCCAAATTTTCCAAGCTATACTGAGCACAAGGGAGTCTCCGAACTTGAATTTCCACTCTCGCTGCATACCCATGACCTCAAGTAAAATAAAGGAAACTTTCCCCAGTCCTGGGTCCCAAGAAGAGCCTGAGGGGTGCCTTGCCCTGATTGTGAACCCATTAGTGAATCAACGGCTGGGGAAGCAGCGGGACCCCAGCCCTCGCCGAGGCTGACCCAGGCAGGGGAAGGCAGCTTGGTCTCTGCAAACAGTGGTGTCACACCATGGTGACAATAACCCCATTAACGTGCACTCACATCACAGACATGCACACGCTGGGGAAGAAGCAAAAAAAAAAGAGCCCTTTTTGTCTGATAGGCTTCAAAAATATGTATTTGATTTTCAGATGTTAGGCTAGAATTGCATCCAGATGGACTTGGGGTCACACTCCCTGACACTGGCTTCCCATTACACTGATATTCAATGCAGATATGTTTTATACAGATAGCTTACAAATATAGCACAGTGTTGTTTCGGGTGAGTTTTTTTAAGCTATTTCCCCTGCCGGTCCCTGTGGTGCTGCGGTTCCCATGCCTCCGGTTCCCCATCTCTGCGAGTTCAGGGTTCCTGCCTGGCCCTGAATCCATCCCACTAGGACAAGGGCGTTTAGGAACAATTCCCTTCATCTTCCAGGTGGATTCCACTCCGTCACACCAGAGATGGGATGTAATTTTCAGAGGCGAAGCAAACTCCCCCAGCCACTGCCATCATCCATCCGTTTTCCTGAGAGGCAAACAAATGCAAACAAAACCAAAGCAGAATAAAAAGCAGCATTTAATAATATGGCAAGATTTGTGGGGCTTAATGTATAGTATTAGATGTGGCAATAAAAATATACAGGTATTAATTGTGTCATTCAGGCACTGACGGCCTCAGGCAATTTCAAGCTTTGCTCTTCTGTTTTATGGTGTCACCAAGATCCGTTGATGGAATTACTGCCACATTATGGTACAAATAGCAATAATAACAATAACAGTAATAATATATTTTGCTGCCTACTGACTCTCCCAGGGTATTTTGCAATTAGATACTTGGAGAAGGCACAGCAAATAACTGTCTCTTCAGCCTGGTTTACTCTTAGCACTGGGTCCTCAGCACAGCAAGCATGTCAGATTTGGCCTTATCCTCTCTATTTCCATGACCCGCCTTTCCAGGAGCCTCGTGGGACACTGTGGAAGGGAGTGCACAAGGCCAGGTTTCTATTGTCCCTGCAGGAGGTGTCTCATGCTGATCCCCATTGCCATGAGAGCCGCAGCTGTGGTGAAAGGGATGCTGTGCATCCTACAGCACCCGACACATCTCCTTCGGCTGGGGAGGAGCAGATGCAGTGGGGGCGGGAGCAGCTCAGGCGGTTATTTACAGCCCATAACTTTGCTCGGTGAAGTTTGCTTCTTTTTTCTGGTTGTTGAATTATCTGGGAAAGGATCACTGTTTTCTCAAATGTATTCATTATCCGAAATTATTTGGGGCCTAACATAGGGGGATCTTTCCACTGACTTAGCTGGGTTTTGGATTAGGCCTTTAATGAATAATTTCTGCAAATAATTCTTGGCCTGTGTCTTGTTCACAGGCAGTTTACTGCAAGAATTCAAAAGTCAAGCTGCTTTATTAGCCATATAGGTCATATGGGATTATTTCCGTTCCCTGAGTAGATGTCTCTTAGCACTAGGTCTTCAGTGCACACATTCTGTATTAATTCAAAATTTGCTTTCTATGAATATTTTACAAGAGTGCCTTGAAATTCACTGTTTCCATGGACATTCCTCCTTGTAACTCATTCTGTTTGCTTGAATATTAACTGAAGGCAAACAGAGCAGGGGCGTGCAGGGAGTCTAGCTGAGCACACTGCAGGAACGGGCACGGAGGCTGGGGGGAAATTCCACTGAGGAGCACTTCACAAATGTCAATGCAGATAAAAATGAATAACTGTGCCCACTTCACCAGGCCCTTCCCTCTGCTCCCTCCTCCCTCTGTGACCCACCAGCTGCTGGCATTCACTCAGAAGAAAGGAAAGCACTTTATTTTCACCTGGTAATCTGGGCTGTTCTTCCTTGCAATGCATCCCCTCACCCCACATGCCCCAGGGGGGATGGCTGGGGTGACCTGCTGAGAACTGCTGTCAGCAGAGCCCCAGGCAGGATGGTGATTGCCACCAACTACGAGTTGCCCAAAGCAGTGGTAGATGTCCCATTCTGGGAAATGTTCAAGGTCAGGCTGGACAGGGCTCTGAGCAACTTGATCTAGTTGAAGATGTCCCTGCTTGTTGCATGGTGGTTGGGCTAGATGACCTTTGAAGGTCATTTCCAATCCAAACCTGTGATTCCATGATTTTATGATTCTATGGTGCATTACTGGGAGGCAGCAGGGAGAGGAACCCCTGCCAAAGCTGTTGACTCTCCTGCCTCTCATTTGAGCTGTTTCTGCAGTCCCAAAAGCAGCATTCCAGGATCTGAGTCCCTGCACCAAGCACTGGTCGTGGAAGACCAGCAGGAATGGAGTCTGCTGGTGCAGGCTGGAGGGAACAGTTAGGACTTCACCCAGGCAGGTTTGTTCTGCTCCAGATCTGGAGGCAAGAAGAGTCTCTGGAGCATCACACTGTGGGACCAGAAGGTTTTCACTGTCCCTTCCTCTCCTCTGAGGGTCAAGTTCAGCTCTAAGTCAGAGCAAGGGAAACCAGAACACCCCAGCTGACCCCAGCTCCTTCAGTGCCTATTTCCACTAGTGCATACAAAGCAGAATCTGGCCCGCAGCTTCCAAGCTGTCAAATCCATCACCTTCCCAAGAAGCCCAGAGAAGAAAGCACATGTTTCCTGGCTGTCATGCAGCAAGGAGCTGAGTAACGGGGCGGACTCTGCCTGGTGAAATGTGCATTGCATTTGGGCTGAGATTCTAATAGATTCTGATGCAGATTTTTTTCCTGATTTGTACCAGGCCATCTGGATTTGTTTCTGTGAGATGCTGGTTTAATACACTTAAAATTTCCCATTGAGTCTCATGCACCAAAGAGAGGGGGAGGGGGGGGCAAATGAAAAGCAAATTTAATAACAGAAAGACCTGAAATCTATTAAATATACATTAAAATGCATTTGGTTTCCCAGTGGGTGCAAAGTGCCATAACGTTTTACTGGGTTTATGACGCTGGCAGAGGCTCTGAATGAAAATGGAGGAGAGAGTCCAGGGTCCCAGCTCAGTAGTTCACGGTGGAGAGAAAGAGTCGTCTGCAGTTTGCTAACGCAGCAAAAACAGAAAAGGCTTCTCGGGTAGATCCACAGAGAGCGCATTTCACATGTGTTTCCGTTAAGGATGCTCACAAAACCTGAACAGCAAGAGACATTCAGGTTCTCAAATTATTTGGGACTCTCGTTTTCCTTCTCGTGCTTCGATTTTGGCAGGGCCCCTTCACCCAGCCTCCTCTGGCTCCTTCCTGCTTCGCGGCTCCTCCACAGCCCACAGATATGGCAAAAGTGCCATATCCAGAGGCTCAGGCTGTCTCATCCCTACCACGAGCAGGGAGCAGGCTGGGTCCGGCAGCACAGGGCAGGAAACCAAGCCTGGTCCCACTCTGTAACACAGAGCAAAGAGCATGTGGCATCCCTGCAAAGCGTTATCTCAAGCCCTAGGAGTGTTGCAGCTAGGTGCAGCAACTTGCATTTTCAGCGGATGAAATCCCCCCGTGCATTGCAGCAGGGAAAGCAATGAGCTGTCCTGTGCAGTTGATGCCCATAGGTCCTGTCCCTGCAGCTCCCTGCTTCCCAGCACCCGGCCATCCTCATCCACGGGTCTGTGGCCAGTCACTGCCAGTTTATCTGGACCTGCTGTTCTGGCCACTCTGCATCCCACCCTGTGCTGCAGCTCACTGGCCAGGACCAGCTCAGGGGTTTAATTCCTCCCTCCACTGATCCAGGCTCTGGTTCTTTCATGCAGAGAGCACCAGTCCTCACTAAAGCAGACTCCTGCCACAGGGCTGATATAAACCTCTGGGTCGTTCCAGACAAGACGAGGGGGATGTCCCAGGTGAACAGCCTTCCCCTTAGCAAAGACCATAGAGTTATTTGTGTGCAGATTCAGCCCCTCTGCATTCCAAGCGGAGGGAATTTTTGCATCAAGCAGAAAAGGCTTTTCTTGGCATAATTCTGCTTTTCTCAGTCTGGTCCCACTCTGCACATGGTGGAGCACGTCATGAGAAAGTAACAGGAGGAAATACATGCACCCGTAACCACCAAGGGCTTCAAAAAGAGGTTTTGTTTGCATTTATCCAAGGCTCTGGCTGTTCCCTCTTTGATGTAGAGCAGTTCATGGGCCCAGAGACCAATTCTGCTCTGCAGCAGTTTACGCACATGACCAATGCAATGCGTGCATGTGTGCACATGTGTGTTCACACACGTATGCACATGAGCGGTACCCGCAGCAGGGGATGGGCAGAGATGGATGGGTGGTGGGAATGCAGAAGAGTTGTTGCATGCATGTGGAGTGTGCATGGGCAGGTGCTGGGGGTGGATTTGGGGGTGGGCTGTGGGGATCTCGGGACTCCCATCTTTAGGGCTCCGGCTGGGCTGCATGATCCCGCAGCCCGTGCAGGGAGGCAGTGTGCAGCACAGCATGGCACGGCTTGGCATGGCTCGGCACGGCGTGGTGCGGCTGTGTGTGTTCCTGCACACCCCATGTCAGCACCAGCATGCAGCTCCGCTCCCCGCCAAGCCGGCAGCAGATGTTAGGGCAGAGAGATCCAGCACCCGGCCAAATTTCCATGCTGGGAGGGAGGCTCCTTCCTCTGCCAAAGTCAGGACGAAGCTCCCCCCAAGATAGTGTTAGCCAGCAATATGGAGATAATGGGAAGATGTTAAGGCAACACAGCTGGCAACCATCAGCACACTGCTCTGTGCCGGCTGCTGCAGCCCAGCGCTCCATTGTTCTGAAGGGAAGAGAAATACCGACCTCTGGCCGGTGTTAGAGCCAAGCCTGCTCGGTGGGTAAGGAACAGGAAGAGGATGGGCTTCGAAAAGGAGACCAAAACACAGCCTGGATGGGTCACAGATGATTAATCTCACAGGGAGCCACTCTCTCAGCTCCAACAGCTACAAGAGTCCCAGCACTAATGAGCCAGTGGGTGAATCCCACCACACTGACTTTTAATGACAAGCCAGACAACAGCCAGCCCTTCCACTCCCCCTCACTGTTCCCACAGCCATCCCTACCAAACCTTGCCAAGCTGTGCTTAGCCCTTAGATATCCAGCCTCGTTTCAGCACTAAACTTGAGAAATTAGGTGAAAAAGAACAGAGATAGGAGGGAGTTACAGGGGTGGACATGGGTGGCTGTGTTCTCTCTCTCCTTTTCCCCTCTTGGTCAGCTCTGCATGCAGGCAAGCCCCAAGCAGAGCTGGTGGTAGCTCTGTCCCGAGCATCCCTACCTTTTGCTCAGTAGACCCAGAAAAGGTCCCGCAGACCCATCAGGTGCACGAGCACCCACTGACAAGCTGCCGTGTTCTGTTCATGTACTGGACCACCCCAGAGCCTGCACCCAAGAGGACAGAGCTCGGCTCTCACTCCCTGCACCCTGGTAGATGACAATGCTGAGCAGCAGTGCGGCCCAAGCAGCAGGCACACGGGCTCAGGAGATGAGTGCCATCCTTGGCTGCATCCACAAAGGAGGAGGGAGAAGCGTTGTTACCCAGCCACATGGCACAGGGAGCCTGCTGCAAGGATGCTGCCTTCAGTGCTCTCGTCTGTGCTTCCAACCAGAGCAGGAGAACTTGGAATGGGTTCAAAAAAGAGCTGGGAGTGAGTCAAGGCAGTGGAAAATATGCATTACAGTGACAGAGTGAAGAAGCTCCGGCTGTTTGGTTTATTGAGGAGACCAAGAGGTGGCTTGCTCACGGTCTACAAGCATATGCATGGGGAAGAGATTTCTGATAGCAGACGGCTCTTTAATCTAGCAGGAAAAGGCATTACAACATCCCTAGTTGGAAGCCGAAACAAGACAAATCCAGATTAGAAATAAGAAGGACATTTTTAGCAGTCAGAGCAATTAAGCATTGGAACGAATCCCCAGGGACAGAGTGGGATCTCCATCACTCAAAGTCTTTTAATGGAGACCGAGTATCTTTCTTAAAAATATGTTTCATCTTGAGCATAAGCAATGAGTTTTCTGCCAAGGCAGCGGGCTGTGGAATGCAGGAGGTCATCCTGGCTGGTCACAGTGGTCCCTTCTGGCCTGAAAACCCATCAGTTGTGCTATAATCTTCTGAAATGGGCAAAAAATAATCCAGGACCAAGCTGGTGCATTTATTGCCCTGTGCACTGGGTTTTCCATGCAAAAACTCAGAGATGGAGCCCAGCTCTGCTGCCCAAGGTAGAGCTGCCTGCATTGGGAAGGTGAGGAAAAACCAGGGCTGGAGCAACTGGTGCTCCTGGCTGGTGCAATGCTCCTGGATCCATTTTTAATGATTATTTTAAGGCCACTTTTAATCCCTAAGGAAAGCTCCAAAGTCCCTAGGAACAGTGACTGTTCATAAAAGGTGCAAGGGAAGGTGGGAAGCCCACAGCACTGTGCCTGAAGGCCGTGTTCCCAGCCCTGGCAGAATAGGCAAATGCCAAGCTGGCAATCCCACAGCATTCAAGACCACAAGTGATTTCCCTACACGATGCTAATGCTGGCCCATCACAGCTCCTGCTGGACGTCCTTGTCTCTTCAGCTCCCCCAGGAGCCAAGTGTGTTTGGCCATTGGCAGCACCACTGGGGACTGATGGAGATGTACTATTAAGGCCCTGTCCAGCAAACTACTAGAGCTTCAAAGCTGTGGGATGATGCCTGTGGCTGCTTACTCGATGTCCCATCACCAGACTGGCAGGGAGAGCATCGAGACAGCATCTCCTCCAGAGTGGGATGCAGGAGGATTTGGCTTACCTGGTGCTGCATGTCTGCACTCAGAATAAGTATGCCACAAGGTCAAGATTAGTCAATCTACACTGCGGCAGGTGGCAGAGAGGCAGAAGGACAGGACAACAGCTCTACGGGTGGAAGGCAATCCAGCAACACCTGCCACTTGCCTATGGAAACCCAAGAGACAGTTATGACCCCATCAGCTAAGAATCTTCAGGCTTTTGGTACTTTATTTAATTTAATGCTCCTCTCTCTCATCCTTAATTGCGTTTATAGTCATTAAAATATCAACAGAGGAACCTGGCTCCAACCCAGGCTCACCGGTGCTAGCAGGAAATTTCCCATTTATTTGACGGATTTAGCTGATGCCCTGCCACCTGCTCTTGGCTCTGCCCTGCTCTGTTTGCAGAGGGCAAAACTTAGTCAGGGGTGAAGTAATAGCCAAAAAAATAGAAGCAAATCAACATGGGGACCCAAATTCAGCCATTCTGGACCAGTTGGAGCAGTGGTAGAGCAGGATGTAACCCAGCATTCACAAACCCCATCCTCGCTGGCCAAGGGATTTCTGGTGGCATCAATCCATCTCTCCAAGCTGCTAATACTCAGTATTCATGGAGCTGGTTTTTTCCTTCAAGAGGAGTAATAAATATGAATTAAGTCTCACAACCACTTTGGCACGACTCAGATTTTACAAATGGTAGAAATTAAAGGCAGAGCAGAAAGTGGCTGATCAAGGCAGGGGATGAAGGAAAGGCAGGTTAACACCATCATCATCCTGATGCTGGCGCTGCAGCTCCCTCTCAGCCTGGAACCGAGAGCCAGCCTTTGCCTCTTCTCTTCTGTGACCTTCATTCAGCCCCTTGCCAGAGGCTGACAAATGGGCAGCAAGGAGCTGAGCTTCCTGAGCCCAGGAACCAGAAAGTGACAGGAAACGGCTGCCTTGCTCTGCCTCTGGAATCCAGGAGCTACTGCCGTGTGTGTCTTCACATCCTTGAACTTCATCTCAAAGAATGTCCCATCTCCAGCGTAGGGGAAAAAGGTTCTGAATAATTAGCAAAACACCAACTAGACAGAGAGTAAAGGAGGAGGAACTGAGAGGAGTAGTAATTGATACAGAATGTTAAATCATCATTCAATAAGATGTAAGGTTTCCATTACTCCTTTAGCACAAGCATGGGAGAAGATGCAGGTGACTCCCTGAGCATCCTCTAGGCACCCTCACCTTGTGAGAGACATTGCAAGGGGACCTCAGGCAGGGTCAGTCAGGGTACCGTGGCACACTGCAAAATGAAAAGTTTCAGAGAGGGATCCCATGTATTCACAGTGACAGGATACCGAAGGGCCTGGGAAGGCTGGGAAGGCTGACGTGAATCTGCCAGAGTATCTGTCAGCAGGAGGACCTGGGAAGGCTCTAGCTGCCTGAGGACATGCTGCATTATGCCACTTAAGTTACACTGAAAGGCACTCTCTCAAACTGGGGCACCAGATCTCCAAGGACATGGATATACAATTCAGCTGGCCAACGTGTGCTTCGTTGTGGGCAGACTGGCAGTAGTGGTGGAAAATCCCGTGTCTCTTCTGGGGATGTCCACAGGGCCTGATCCAGAGAATGAGAGATGCAGAGATAATGCAGAGATTGATAGTAAGACAGCACAGCTCACCCTTTGGGTACAGTTCCCTTTGGGTATGGCTTTGATTTCCTCCAAATTACAAGTCCACTGCTCTCCTTCAGTTTTCTTCCCAGAAGAAAGACAATACACATCTTCAGATTTCAAGCCTCTGCCCAGGGCTCTGTTAACCAGAAAACAGGAGGCACGAAGCTACTTTGGGCTCCAAAATGGAAGCAGAAACCAGGCACATTTGCATGTGAACATTTTTGCTGTCTCTGAAGCAGCAGAAATGCCTCTCCGTGGACTTCTGTGGTTTCATTCTGGGTTTGTGATGAAATATGTGGCACAGGGAGGGGTTCATTAGCAAAGCCCCAGGAGGGTCTTGAAAAGCCCTCAAGTTCTCCAGCATGCTCTTGCCACAGGGAGAGCCAAAGAAAGCCCCTTGGCTCCAATTCAGGATTGCCTCTGTCGCTTGAAACAGGGCAGGGTGGGCCAGAGATCCCCAGTGCTGCAGAAATATGCAGTTCTGCCAACACCAAGTCCTGCCCTGCAGGCAAGGCACCCATGGAGGATGAGCCACACGTAGCAAAACCTCCGCAACACCTACCAGGGCTGGGGAAGGATGAAATGATGCTCTCAGTATCCAGTCTCTGAAAGACAGACAGAGAGATGACAGACTTCTTGAGGCACTCACCAGGGTGACCCCTCCTGCCCCACCATCCTCACATGTGCCCTTGTTCATGGGTCACATCTCCAGCCCCACTGATGGAGAATGGGATACAGGCTGCACCCTGTAACTCGCAAACCCCCTGGATGCTTGCAGATCGTGTTTGTCTTCATTGTGTCTTCAAAGCCCTTTTGTTCCTCCTCCTAAATGGAAAGCTTTCCGTTTTTTATACTGGTGATGTTTGTCAGACAAACCCCCTCCAGAGAAGTCTTCTAAGGGAAATCAGGCTCTCTCCTCACTACCTCACCTCCCTGCTGCCTGGGTGCGCTCAGGCGTGCCATCAATTGCTCATGTGTGTGGAAACAACACAGCCCACATCAGAGGTGAGCCCATCTCCCCAAGCACTTTCAGGAGGCTGCAGGGAGATGGGATGCTCTCCCAGCACCAGGAGAGGGGATGGAAGGGCTGGGGCCAGGCAAGTCACATGCCTGACAGCATTTCTGGAGTGCAGGCAGGATAACGAGCCAGCCATGTAGAAATGATCACATTCAAAGGACATGGCATAACAGCAGAGGAACCAGCATGGCTGCTCCTGGCCACACCACCTCCCAGGCAAGGGGCATTCACTGGGCTGAGACCCCTTGCAAACACTGGGCAGCAAACGGGAAGCTCTGGCTTTGGCATCTTTTCTTTCCTCCCCAGTTAGCCCATCTAATAAATAAACTTGCTGGTTCAAACAGAGGAAGCTAAAAATTCAAAGTGCTGGCTCCAGCACAGACAAACGCTTCTTTGGGGAAGAGTCCGAGCTCGTCTCTTCCAGCTTCAAGCAGAAAATGCACATGTGCTGTTTGATAATTCAGGCCATCTTGCCCCAGGGACGGGTCCATGAAAGAGCTCTCCCTCCTCTGCATTTATTCCCTGTCAGAATAAACCCAGAAAATGAGAAGCAGCAAATATGTGCCCACATGCCTCTTCCTGCAACCTGGAGAGCAAGAGGTGCCTGAAGCGGAGATACCAGAGGAGGTGTGAGCTCTGGTGAGTGCAGCGTAGGGCAGGAGAGTTGCAGGGATGTCACAGGGCAGCCCGGGTGGTGGGGGACACCCACCAGACAGCCTCTTGCCACACAAGCACATTCAGCCCTCCAGATGGCAGAGAGATAACTAATTACCCACTAATTATTAATCAGTTCCCTGTGATTTTATCTTAATTGGGCTCTTTCCTATCCAGCCTTCTACAGCATCTCCCTTGTTTTGAGTGAGCAGTGCTGAGCCATGGTCCCCTCACTGCTGGGCTCACCCATGCCCTGTCTGTGCTCACCCCAATGTGAGTGCTGAGGGGGGGCAGCCCTGGAAAGCTCTGGGAGCTACCAGAGTCATTTATGAGAGCACTGCACCTTGG